GTCTTTGAGACAAGCATATGACTACTGGCAGGATCAACCAGGTAGCGGGTGTGACGAGCAGCCGCAAGGAGCGATGGCCGAGGTGCACGTAGGCACGTCACGCCGAACAGCGTACCAAAAGAACGTCGAACAATCGTGGAACGTGCAATGAGCTGCTGAGATGCCGCGAAGTCCGGCTGTTTGAATTGCAGGTGAATTTCCCTCCGTAGGCCATCTCCAACCGCAAGGTAGCGCACAATCCAACACAGCCCGCCGCACTTGCCCAAGCGATTGGCTGCGAACAGCATCTGCCCACACCACACCCAGAGATCGCAAGYTAACCACACTACCCGAACAACGGCGCGCGCGAAGGAACCAACAACAGCTTCGGCCCACAGCCGGATGCCACCTCCCGCCCAAAACGTACCGACAGCGAAGTGCACAGCCTCATCTCTCCATCGAGAAACGCGGGTGAAGAGAGAACAATGCACCACGCTTCCAACACGCCCGGACGGAGGGAAAGCCTCCACCTGTGCACGGGGGCGCAAAAGGAACACAGCCCCTCTGCCCCTGGGTCCACATCCGCCGGTGGCCGTGGGCACCACCAACAGCACTCGACGCAKGCGAAACCCAGGAGACAGAGGACAGTAGCCTTCGAAGCCCACAACCGAAACGCAGCGGAACCACGACGCAAYGCGATCCGTCACGGTGTGCAGCATACCGAGACCACAGGATGGGGGACACGACGGGCACAAGCGCGCATTCCAAAAAGTCGGGCGGATGACGTGCCCAACCTCGCGACGCCGTCAGAGGGTGCATCACTCATCCCACAAGTCTATGCCCTCGCATACGGTAAGCAGCGTGTGCAAGGCCGAGGCCACCTCCGCCACCGCTCAATGGCGCCGCTCGGATGGCGAAGAGTGCAGAGCGTCCTCACCAAGTCGTGACACCCCCTCAACATAAACGGAATGCGCCGTTGTGAGTGCGGACACGAAGACGACACCACAACAGAGCCGCAACAGCTCTCCCCGTAACCTACGGGATGATGGTGTCGAAGCTGAGAGTCGGTGACGGGCACCTCCGCCTCCACACCCTGCAAACGACCGCTAACCGGACCGCCGTCGGCGATCAAGCGCCAATTATCGGAAGACGATGAGCGAGGGTGAACACAACGATCCACAACCTGGCACCACAGCATAGGAAAGCCCCGACAGCCGCGACCGCCGCCAACGACGACCGAGCTGTCGTGAAATAACCCATCTGAGAGAGACGACCATGGACCCGAACGGCGCCGCAAAAACGTTCGCTCGACCACCAAAGCACGACTCGCCTGTCCCTCGCAAACTGGAAACCACCCAAAGCGTGTGCAGAGAGTCCCCCTCTGGTACAAGGTCCCAAAACCCACGCCCGGAACCCACACCCGGAACGTCGCCTTCGTCGACTGCAAGGGGGCTGCTAAGCACGCAGGCCCCTATAAGAGTGCAAACGGGACTCTGAACTGCCAACCACCGACTGTTTGGCACATCGGGAGGGTGCTCACTGAGCCATCCGCCGAGGGACCTGCACATGTCCCTTTCCAGCAAGCTGACGGAACTGACCCCAATGGCAATGTCCCCCACGGGACCTCATCCCTTTCCGCTCTCAAACGTCGACTGCAAGCAGGCCTGTGCTCTGAACATATTCGCATGGAATAACGCGATAGGACTCTGGTCCTATTTCGTTGGTCTTCGGGATTGGAGTAATGATTAATAGAGACGATTGGGGGCATTCGTATTCCATTGTCAGAGGTGAAATTCTTGGATTTATGGATGACGAASTTCTGCGAAAGCATTTGCCAAGGACGTTCTCATTAATCAAGAACGAAAGTTGGGGGATCGAWGACGATCAGATACCGTCCTAGTCTCAACCATAAAGGATGCCGACTAGGGATTGGCGGATGTCTATTGGATGACTCTGCCAGCACCTTGTGAGAAATCAAAGTTTACGGGTTCCGGGGGCAGTATGGTCAAAAGGCTGAAACTTAAAGGAATTGACGGAAGGGCACCACCAGGCGTGGAGCCTGAGGCTGAATTTGACTCAACACGGGGAAACTCACCAGGTCCAGACATAGCAAGGATTGAYAGATTGAGAGCTCTTTCTTGATTCTATGGGTGGTGGTGCATGGCCGTTCTTAGTTGGTGGAGTGATTTGTCTGGTTAATTCTGTTAACGAACCAGACCTCAGCTTGCTAAATAGCTTTGCGGGGACCTTTCCTCGTGGCCAGCTTCTTAGAGGGACTGTTGGACGACTAGCCAACGAAAGTTTGAGGCAGTAACAGGTTTGTGATGCCCTTAGATGTTCGGGGCCGCACGCGCGCTACACTGATGAATCCAACGAGTCGCTTGCYTGGGTCGAAAGGCCCGGGTAACCTTCTTAAGGTTCATCGTGACGAGGATAAATTGTTGTAATTATCGATCTTGAACGAGGAATGCCTAGTAAGCGCGAGTCATCAGCTCGCGCTGATTACGTCCCTGCCCTTTGTACACACCGCCCGTCGCTCCTACCGATTGAATGGTCCGGTGAAGTGTCTTGATTGCGGTGATCTCGGCGGTTTGCCGCTGGGTGTGCTGTAAGAAGTTCATTGAACCTTATCATTTAGAAGAAGGAGAAGTCGTAACAAGGTTTCCGTAGGTGAACCTGCGGAAGGATCATTGACACGTGAATGGCCGATCTTCGGGGTGTGGGATGCTGGCTTGCTCGCCCTTCCGCTGCCCTGTTCCCCCATCCTCCCTACATCCGCTTTTCTCTTCCGTTTCAGCACCATCTTGGGCTTAGGGCCCAGCTGGCGGCTGGCCCGGCGCAGAGGGGCGCGTGGTGTAGGTCGAGGGTGGGGGGAGTGGGCAGGGTCCAGGGCCTTGTGGCGTTGCTCCCCCTTCATCCCGTCTCGCCTCCGTAGGTTGTTACCTCAGCCCAGCCCCACTCTCGACTTCAGGTCTAGATGGCGGTTGGTCCGGGCACGGACAGCCCTGTGCGAGGGTCAGGGGCGGGATGCCAGGTGGTGGCGGCTGTCCTTGGCCTGCGTACCCCCGCTCCTACCTGTCTCAGCTTTGTCCAGACCTCCTTTCCATCTCGGCCTCGACCTCGGCTTCGTGTGGAGCTTGTGGCTTGTTTGGGGATCGAGGGCGCAGCAAAATGCGATACTGAATGTGAATTGTGGAAATCCGTGAGCCATCGATACCTTGAACGCACTTGGCGCCCAAGGCTTCTGCCGAGGGCACGCCCACCTGACCATCATTGGATTCCTCACGACCTCAGCACCTTCTGTTTCGGAGAGTGGTGGGGTCCGTGGTCGTGGCTTCCCTCGCTTCCCACTTGGAGAGCGTCGATAGCCTAAAGTGGAAGGGAATTGGAGAGCATTCCGAGCGGGCCTGTGGGGGCCGCAGCCCAGAGTGGTGCGTTTCGCTCCGCCCTGTTGTTGCCCTCCAGCACCCGTTTGTGGGTGGTGGTCTTTGTTTACCTGAAAACGGCACGTAAGGTCGTCCCTCCGGTTTGTGTGGTCGCCGCCTTCCAATCGGTCCCATCAGCTTGAGGTGGGCTTGCGGTTGGGGGTGTCGGCCTCRAGCTGTGGAGGTACGTCGGGCCTTGCCTTTTGATCTGAAGTCGGGCGGGAGCACCCGCCCAATTTAAGCATATAACTAAGYGGAGGAAGAGAAACCAACGAGGATTCCCCTTGTAGCGGCGAGCGAACCGGGAATAGCCCAGACTGAAAATCCGGGGACTGTGTTACTCCCTGAACTATAGTCTTGAGAGGCAACCTCTGCAGCGGGCCGTGTGCAGGTTCCCTGGAAGGGGACGCCGAAGAGGGTGACAGCCCCGTCGAGCGCTTGACCCAACTGCGCAACGAGGTGTTGTCCAAGAGTCGGGTTGCTTCGGAATGCAGCCCCAGTTGGGTAGTAAGTCCCATCCAAGGCTAAATATGTGCGAGGGACCGATAGCGAAGAAGTACCGCGAGGGAAGGATGAAAAGAACTTTGAAAAGAGAGTTAAAGAGTGCTTGAAATGGCCAAGCGAGAAGCGGATGGAGGGGAAGTCGTGCGCCCACATCAGGGCAGGGGTGGACGGCGACTGTGTTGTCGCCCCCCTTGTTGGACGTGGGGTGCCTGCCAGCATGGGCT